ACGTAGGAACCTTTGAAGTTTTTTTCACCTCAGAAATGACCTTCTATTAATGGCATTTCTGTGCCACGCGTGAGCTTTACCATGTTTTTTTTTCGGTTGAAGGGTGTATTTCTCCACGAGGAATGGCGAAGAGGGTTTAATAACCTTCAGAATACATTCGTCCACTGACAGTCAGTTTCACATGCATGCAGAGCCCCAAAAGAAATAGGTTATATTTTTTTTTTTAAAGTTTTTGATGCGATATATACCAACCGTCGACATGGTTTATTGTAGCAATGGTTAGCTATTTTTCTTTAGAGGCTTTACGACCTCTACTATAGTCAAAACTTTTTGTTTTCAGTTCTTTAAAAGTAATGTATATAACAGATTTGATTTTTATTTTCAGATCAAAATTCACAAACTTATTTTAGTAAAATTATGTATGTCGAAATATCATGMCAAATTAAAATTAAAATATTTGTGTCAAAGAAACACAATTATGAAATCAATCGACTATTATATTAACCCACAATATTTTTTTTAGGAATATGAGAATATTTTATATAATATCTACTACTCCAATAAATTAAAATATATTACGTAGTAGTTCGGCAACAGTTGCATTGATATCGAAATGACATTATAAATAACTGTTTTAAAATGTCACTTATTTACAYTGTAATCTATTCAATTAACTAGTACTTAGTCAACTGAAAAATAATTGTTATTACACTAAAAAATGAAAAATATAATATCAATACATGTTAAAATTATAGGTAGAACCATATATCTAATTTCTTTTAATATAAATTAGTTTAAAAGAAAAATGATTTTTGTTGTTRTTATGYATCAACACTTTATTTGGAATCCAGTCGTCTGTATCAGATAACGAAAGGAAAAAAATAACCTATAAATTCATATTAACAATTCAATTTCAATAAAGACAACGATTGTTGAATTCACAATACGTTTGTGAATAGATGGGACCAGGTGGTTTAAAGTATGAAACATATTGTCAATTTGACACATGTCTTAGTATACATACATTTTAAAAGTATACTTTATAAATAAAACGAATAATGCTTGGATTCAAAAAAAAACTAGAATCAAAGATACGTTCTTATGAATTGAAAAGATTGCTACGAAATGTTACGATGATTTTCTTTTAGAAAATAATGTAATGTAAAGACAAAACGGATGAGAATACCGAAGTGTAGAACAGCTCAGGAATCAATAGTTTCTTTTAAATAAGTGTACTCGAATTTTCTAAAAGGCAAGTAGGTACCCAACACGAAAAAGACTACTGGACGTGAATACGTACTTTTAAGAGATATTTCGATAAGAAAAGTTAATATTATGACAAAAATAGGCCAAAGGTTATTTCGTTGGCCAYTAAATTCATAAATAGTACTTGTATAAAAAATTTACATTTTTGCTTTGAATCGTTTAAAAAAATCTTCACTATTCACTAAGATAACTATTAAAGAGTGATATATTGGTATATAATAATGTCAGATTGAATTACATTAGTGGACTTTTGAAACGATTAATATGTTTATTTATCAGGAATTAAAATTTACAGACGTTAATATTTTGTTGAAACAATTTCTTTATTAAATATAGGTACTTATTAATTTATTAATTTATAGTTAGGGTTAAGATAAAACTAAATAGTTTATCAAAGGTTTTTTTTTATCTTTCATGTATGTAGTTATAAACATTAAAATATATTTTTTTTTTAAACAAGTAAGTAAATCACAATCTTTATTTAACAATACAATACATTTTCTTTTTAATGCCAATTAAAAATATAGATAAACGTGTTGATTATTAATATATATTTACATTAATTCTTTAGAGAATGCAATCTATATAGGTAGTTGAATTGAGATTACATAAATAAAAATAAATAAATTAGATTAGTYTTTGATGAAATGACAGTAGTTCTGATACTAAAGAGAGTAAAGGTAGATATTATGATATGTAGATATTACATTTCATATACCAACACTAAAATTATCAATTTAAAAATTATTATTATGTAAGCGTTTAATGTAAATACGAGTTTATTCAAAAACTGTTGAATATTATGCATAGAATTATATAAAAAAAGAACTTATTAAGTGGAATATAACACGATATTTTTAAATGATTCAAAATGAAGATTCAAAGAGTACCTAGTATTCGTAATGTAGTCGGGTCGGTTTGAGAAACARCCTTCATACAAATATAACCGCAACAATTTCACGTTTTGATACTCTATATATAGGATATATATACGTAGTAGGTATACAAAGTATACTGTAAAGAATAATATACCTATCTAATAATACATTATTTAAACATAAATATTCGAATCAGTGAARATTGTTATTGCGAATATATAAAATTGAAATTAGTGTACCCTTTTATACTGTGCTTACRGTATWGCTATAAAACAGAAATTGTCATTTAACATAACGCAATAAAGTGCTCGAGACAGACTGTTGTATACGCTAATATATTATTTAAAGTTTGAGAAAACAATGTTTAAACGGTAATGGTATTTCCATACATTTCATCCAACTTCCATATGATTCCTAACGATTTATTTCTTTATTTTTACTCGTTAAAACAGTATTTTGAATATTTCTAAGTGCCCCCGTATGGACATGTATCATACACATAATATCGTGTCGAATCGTACACGAATTTGAATTGTATAGGAAATTAATATAATAATAAAAAYACCGTCACCTTTGTCATTATGCTGTAATAAACCCTATCAAGACTTCCGCCTATTGAGGGTCCCCCGTGGACTTGGTGGTGGGTACAAATGTGCGGAAAAAATTACACAACGCTTTTGTCGCAGGTTCTATTCCTAAATGTAATATATTCGAGTAGCGTCGGAGGAGCCCCAACCCGACACAAAAGAGGTTTTCGCCCCGTGTGACGATGGCGACGACAATAATATAAGTATAGTATAGGTGTATTATATAACGTATWTATGACTCCTGAATACTGCTGCGGTATAAACATATTATACAAGACGGGGAAACGTCGGAGGGGCAAACGCTAATAATAAAATAATAATAATTAACCGGTCGACAAGACGACAATATTGTTCCGAAAACGGAGGGGGGAGGTAATGTGTAAAAAAATATGACGTGTTTTGTCCTGCACCAACGATGCACTGTGTAATAGGCATATCGCCACCAGGAACAAAAAGGTGCGGATCGAGCGCTATTCCGAACGCTTGGCGTTTACATTATAATATGTATTATATTTTATATAAATATTAAAACTCGGCATTACGAGCTCGAAACAATAGTTTTGCCGTCCACTTTTATTCGACCTGTCATGTGCACTGCCCCGTTTCCCACCCACCRCCACGGTACACTTTTGTTTTCGTCACTCGTTTTCCCTCGGCCACCCGGTAATTTATTCCAATTGTGCGAGTCGTTGGTTTTTATTTTTTTCAACGTATAGGTTTATAGGTATACACATTACACATACGCGTACACTGCACTGAATAATGTAAAACAACATGCGGACGATATGATGATTAATAGCCGGGTTAGCCACCACTGAACAGTGCACTGACGCGACGGTAATACATGTGTATAACCTATAATATATATATACAAATATAGACCGATATATACATAAAAATGAATATCTGTGTTCTTATATTTATATATGTATATAATATTATAATGTGGGTCGATAACGAAGTACCGGTCAGCTGTGYTATCAGAGGCGGTATATAGTGGCCAGACGACGAAGAGGCGGGTAGGAAGATGATAAATTTTGGAGACCTGATGATGCATATATAGGAAATAGGATCCACTCGACCGGGGTCCCTTGAGCCATATTTTTCTCTACAAAACTTAGATAAACATTATAGTTTCCGTATATTTCATTTGTGTTGGCTCAGACATAATAAACGTCGGGTTCTCTCAAAATATAAAAATCAAAGTCAACAATCTTTCTGTTGTATTCGTATAATATTTTGAAGAAAGTTCAATCGTATAACGAATTTAACAATGTTTTTAAAATTTAAATTTAAAAATACAATATATAGGTTATGTATATATTGTTTAGATAGATATACGCGGATTGTTTAAGTTTTAATTATTTGTTGATTTGTTATTACATACCGATGAAAATTATATACATTACTGCTGTACCTACCTACTTCTGCATGAAAGCTGGATAAACTCAATTTTAACGCGTTATACAATTAACATACTCGACYGTAGTAATAAAATACGAAATATTATTATAAGCCAAAGATTAGTTTATGTGCAATTGTTTTTGGTTAATYAGTTTATACGACCGAATCAAATGCACGAATTCAAATATAATTGAGTGCTTTAAGAGATAAGTATAATATACAGAATAGTATAATATATTATGTAAACATTGAGTGCGGCATAAAATTCGCGTGCAACTTTGTGAAACTAATAGAAAAAAACTAAGTCAATTTTCAAAAAATATTTTTTAATTTATAAAATATACAGAATATATATAATGTAGTCATCAATCACTTAAAAACATTTTATTTTAACTTTAGTTATGTTCTATATTATGCACCATGAATAAGGTGTAGGCATTTAATAATTTTATCRGAATATATAATTTATATTTCTTGAGCTATAATAATGGATATTTTGAACTACCTAATTTATGGACAAAATGTATTTTCCCCTATTTACCAAATCCGTTTCTAAAATGGGTTTTCTCTTCTGTTATATATGCATTTTGTACATTAACACGGGCGAATAAACGTTGTTAAATGRCGATGGTTGCCGATAACATCTGCGTAATGGACAGAATGACAAACCACGCGATCGATAAATCCCTATCTCTTTCTGATCGCTTACTACAATTATGCCAACGATTCACAATGTTGCCCAATCGCACAAACTAGGTGTGCACTTAGTTACCGTGTTTAAATGTCTACTTATATAATAGTAAAACAACCTTACAAATGCAGGTGTCAATCACATTCAATGTTAATAGCAAATACACTGTTTTACCTGTCTTCGATCAGAAACTTGTCGCTGACGTTTTGCACGCAATCTCCTTTGGTCGTGATAGTGGTCGTATTTATATTTATGTAATGATTSACACCAGACTGAAACCATCGGCCGGACCATTGAGCAGGAAACTCACATTCACCTGCAAAYGGAAACGAACAGCTGATAAACATATTCTGTCATTAAATATACAAATATCGATTTTGGCAAGATTGGTTTTTTTGAATAGACTAGGCAGTTTTTGTCGACATAATATATTAGAATCGAGCAATTGATTTGTACATTACTTACTCAACTTTTGACTACTAAAACGTAAATCATTCTATATAATTAAATATTTATTATATTAACTATTTTAATTAATGCATAGGTAAGTACTTATTAAATAATATTCTTAGCTTTAATTCGTTTAAATAGTTACATTTACTCAACGTTTTACACTTTTGGTTTTTTTTTTAATTTTTCATACTTATTGTTTAAGTTTTTATGAATTGTATAAACAGTTTTAATGTTAAGCTATAAATATGTTAACCAATTAATTGTAGTTAGGCAATGGACTGACTGATAAACAAAACGAAATTCTCTACGGTTATAATAATTTAAGGCACTATACTATAATATAYCATAATATTATTTAAAATCTTATTTATTTTTTTATCTTAATTACCATGATTAARATGATCAATTAAATACGATAYTCATCTTAAAATTATTWACAAACAATAATTTGAATTATTTTTCAATGTCTAGACAGTCGAAAAATAAACTAATAAAAAAACAAATTRTATTTCTTTGTTTGTTTTGAATAAGTGATTCAATGTTTGTTTCCGTTTCAAGTTACTCCTTTATTAAGGCACGGATTAACTGGCAGGATGTATTTTCGTAAGCATATGAAATGTATTGTAACACTTTTCAGCGGCTTTATTTGTTTATGTAAGGTCATACAATATACTTTGTATATGATATTTATATATACAATTGTACGTACAGGTATTATATAGGTAAATAAGCTTTTTCATAATATAAAAATGTTGTATTCATTTCATGTACTATACTTAATATAATTTTGATATTTTATAACTTATTTTCCATGACAAAACTGGACTTTGTATATAGGATAGAACCCCAAATCAAAACAGGGCATTCGAGGTAATAACCGTGTATATAACTATACGGTCTGATTGAAAATTATAATCTATTGTATATTTGTACTTTGGCAAGTTATAATTACCTATTCGCAGACACACGGTGCAGTGTGTATATGAACTCACACGCCCAATATTGYTCAACTGTATTAGGTTGATTGTGTTTTGAATTACCAGTCCACACACGCAGCGGACGGGGACGCAAGACTATAGAGTAGGCAACTATATGGATATAGTGTATTATTTAGTATATATTATGTTGTATAATATATATAGAGAGACGAGAGTATATATGTGCTTTCGTCATAGGTATTTTTCCACTCCTCCTCATTTGGGGCATACGAGTATTTTCTTGATACACGTACCCGCCTATATATGTATAAAATATTATCCCGAGGATTAAAAACTCATACGCGCGGTGGTAAAACACACTCTCGCTTGCACGTGCCATATAGTCGCCCAGTCGTAGTGGAAAAAAAATTCCCCTACACTTGTACACTATATATACATATATATACTGCAGTATACATATACACCCTCATATTATATATACTCTCACACTGTGCTACACATATTCTATGGGTACCTATCGTCGTCATTTGCGGGTAGGTATACGTCGTACGTATTTTTGTACGCGCGCTCGCGAGTGTGTGTGTGTGTGATGAATAATATTATTTAGTGTTATATATAATATGTACATAATATACCTACATGTGTGTTCGACGGAAGGACTATACATATATATWATATATAATATATATATACTGTTAATAAACACGGGAGCCAGCGGCGGAGTTGTGAGGAGAGGGGGATGGCCGGCGGCAAAGGGCGGCTTGCGCACACACGTATGGTGGCGGTGTATATATATATATATATGTGTACCCAGTTTTAATACTCGGCCGAAAGCGCATTCCTATTAAACTTTAAGCTTTTCGAGTCCAACTTTGTGTATGCGTTCGTGTGTATAATACACAAAACACTACGCGTTTATAAACACACATAAGCCACCAGGAGAAGCCCGTTACGCCGCCATCGTCGTCGTAGGGCGAGGAGAGATTGGACTCCGGATAGAGAGACCGTGGTGTCGGAGGCGGTGGCGGAAAAGAGGGCGAACGCCGCCGACCAAAGACAGAACGCCCGCAAGCCGAAGGTGGCGGTGGTACTGCGCGCGCGTGTGTGTGTGTATGGATGGATGAATGGTTGAATGGGTTGGCTGGGTGGGGGGGGGCGACACCGCCGATATTAATTTCTATACCGAGGCCCCCGCAAACCGGGCTGTCAAGAGGAGTGATGGAGATCAATATTGCCGAGTTATAAATAATACCAGACGAAACTTAACCTCCAAACCCCCTCCCTTGTCCCGTCACCGAAAACCCCGATCGTCGTGTCGTTCTCACACTTTAATATATATATATATATATATATATTATACGTATATAGTACCTATACCTATACACACGACTGTTATTCCGCGGGAAAACCTCCTACAATATATAATATACAAGCAGACACACACACACATATGTTATATTATAAATATATATATATAGTATACAAAACGTGCAATAAACGTGAACAATATCAACGCGCACATATTACACAACCACCACCGCCGCCAAGACGAGCACTCGGCGAGTGATGAATATAATATATATATAATACGTCAACCGTGGGGCGCGTCAGGTGTTTTATTTTAGTGTAATTTTTTTCCCTTCAAATGAAATACATTTGACTTATAACTATACTACGATTATCTGATGGGTACAGCCAGCTGATGATGTAATATATACTTATCCAGTGGCGTACGCAGAGGGGGGTTGGGCTAACGGGCTGAAGCCATCACCTCCACCCCCGTTGACAATATTAATAATTATTATTTGTTTTTATGTTTACCCATGATTTAATATAGTATCTACTTTATTTTTCAAACCTTATCCTGGGCCAAATGAGTGATTTATTGCATAGGCGAAAACTACACAATGATTATTGAGGGCTGAAGATGCAGGAAAACCAAAACATTATTTTTAATTTTTTTTTATTTCAAGACGCATATTTCCGAAAAAAATGTCACAGTATTTGGGTAGTTTCTTTTCTTAGAGGCAATATTATAATAATATATCGAGTTTACTAGTCCATAATTAAGTGTGTTTTGTTCATCTTATCGTTTAAGGTATAGATTTATGTTATTTCAAACTAACTTAGGTTTGATCAGAGCTCAACAGTTTACATGAATAAATGCCCGATTAAATGATTTAACAATAAAGATATAATAATCGTGATAAAACAYGAATTCAGCAGATACCTGTATTTATTATGATACTGTTGTAAATTGTGAAAATATGCAAATCATAATTTATTTTTATATTCCGGTTGTTTTATAGTTCATTTTATTTCGACCGGAAGTTGATAAAGAAATAAGTGAAAAAAATTGTCAAGTTTGTAGAAACGAGATATTTCAAAGTGAGAGGTTGGAGAGGAGCGCGTTAGATCGTAACTACATCTGTGATGGTAGTATACGATTGGGAAATTAATGAGAAGTGGGAATTTTTAGTTGGATTTTTTAAAATTAGATCAGGAAAAAATATTATTATTGTCGAACGATGAAAACAACACTACTACCTAGCAGAGGTCATCCACGCRTGACGAAGGCATCTTTTGGACGATGCGTGACGTCTCGAGGAAAGCCGAGTCCACTGTTAAATAACGGACGTCGATTATTAACATAATAATACATTAGTATAATACCTCTGTAGTCTGTATAGTGTTCCGACGTACCACGTACGAGAGATATCATAACATATTAAATAAAACTATATAGTGTAATATATTATAATATGGTCGGCGCGGCGGTTTTGACATTTCRATAGAGTTTAAGAACACTAACGTAGTAACGTTTATRCTCTTTTATAAATGTTATGATTAATCGAATACAATGACTCACACTTTGAACACCACAAACGAATCTTCTCAGTGTCCGCCATCGATCCACGCCAAACACWTACACAKTACAATWKGTATATATTACAGTCATTACTGCAGAAATAGTATACGTTTAACAAATTTATTGACAATTATTATGAAATTATTCATTTTTTGTACCTACTTTAGAATATGGAAATGATAAAAACCCGAAAACTGGTAAAACAGACATGATGATATTGTATTGGATTACCTAGAGACTTGTAATTTAAATTTGGGAAAACAAAACAGTTCTATCGTTTGTGTTTAAACATTAAAAACATACGTACTTACGTACTCTGATGTCTCGATACTGTGAGTAGTAATATCATGTTCTATGGACAGTTGATGCATAACTGATAATATACCCAATAACAATACAGCACTGGGGGGAGGGGGTGCTAGACACTGCTAGTCCATAACACAACTGTTCGTTTTCCACTTTGAAGACATTTTCCGAATGGATTATATGATACACAGTAATCAAAACATACGAATTCCTACATAGAACCATCACAGTATACTTATATACATGTGTGCATACGTCAGCTATAAAACAGTCGGACTACAGGATTTCGCGATAATGATGATGACGTCGTTTCATTCAGCCGACGTCCGRMACAGCTCGAAGTGGATATGTTTATTGTTTGTGTATATAATGTGTGTGCGTGTGTGTACGCAACAGTCACACTGACTCTCGACCTGCCGAACATCAGCCGTCGAGCTTCATAATGATATATATATATATATTGTATAGACAGATCCGGACATATCATCACTGTCATCTGTCCGGTTTCCCACGGGGCAAATATTTGTTCGCCGATTTCCTAAAGGGATCACAACCCTAGACCGAATCCCCCTCCCCCCTATCAGAGTCTTTACCCCCGCACAGTTTTCGTCGTCATCGTCGACGTCGCAGGTCGACGATTTAAAACAAACAATGGGCAAACCACGCGTTTGTTCTCGCTGTATTATATATATAGTATATACATATATTTGCGCGATTATAATACCCGTCGTATGACGGTAAGCAATAAGC